ATATATATATATAATATATTGTTTATTTTATATACATATATATATTGTTTATTTTATCAAAACACATTTTCAGTAAAAAAAAACACACACACACATCTATTTTTGTGTAAATAATAGTTTTAATACAATTATTTTAAGCGATGCTCTTACATATATATTTTACACGTTTGCGGCTTAGACGCGGTGGCGATGGATTTACATGTAATTGCGGCAAAAGCTGTTGGAGACTTTTTTTCCGGTTATGTTGTAATAATTACGTATATTAACTTTTGTATTTGAGTGCGCATATTGATACTATAAAGTGAGTAGTTATATTCGGACCACTTTAAAAAATCGCAATAATTTTATAAAATTCAATGCCATTATTAATCGATTTTTTGGATAACAAATACATTCTTTTGGATAACAAACGCTTACAGTACCGTATCCTCTTTATGAAATTATTCATCACCAAATAGCAAAGTGGATTTATTCTGTATGCCCTCAATAGCTTCACGAATAACATCTCTGAGGTTCTAAATCATGACATGTTGGCGTAGAAATTATCTTTCACGTGACTCCAAAATGAAGTGGACGGTCCGGAAACTTTAACCCTATAGGAACGTTAATTTCGGTACTTGCGTGGCACAGCCTCATTTCCGAAAAATTAAGGCCCAATAACCCCATCGGACCATAAACCTTAAAAAACATTTACACGTTGAGGATAGAGAAGAGCCTTTTTATCAATAAAACTTGGGTTTTCCGTGCACCAGTTTTGTTTATTGACGTAATCATCGATGTGCAAATGAACCTCATTAGTCAAAATATTTGTTCCATGAAACTCCGTATCATTTTCATGCATTTCATCGAACCAATAAGCAAAGATAGGACATTGTTGATGGCCGACCGGCTGGAGTTCTTATGTTAACTGAACTTTATAAGCTTTAAGACTCAGGCGCTTCTGCAAAATACGGTAAAATGACGATTGTGGAATGCCAAAATCAAAAGAACGACGAGGTTTCTTTAACACTTTGGGCTACAGCAGCAATTTTGTCAGTTGTTCTTGGCCGAAGTGTACGTGTTTTTTTATTCACATCACTAACTAGTACCAAAGACCACGATAGCCGAGCGGTCAACATTACGTACTGCCATTTGGAAGACTCGGGTACAAATCCTAATGTCGTACTAAAATCCAAAAGTTTAAAGAAAATTAATTTTAAATAAAATTATTAATTACAGTCGCACCTTGGCAAGGAATGTCAACCTCTTTGAGTTTATTCCTGAAATAAAATAAAGCTACTCATAAAGAAACCATCAGCTGTTCGGAGGCGGCTTAGTATTATATAAACTATGGGTCTCTCCATCAAGACGAAAAATCACAAATTGGAAGAGAAGCACCGTCGCTTCAGTGGTTACAAAGCGCCAATTATATATAACTAGTCCCAACAGCTCTATTTTTTCCATCAATTTTTATATTGCGTACCGACAAAGTGCAGTAATGAGGTTCCCACCATTTTTATATCAAAATTCAATCCTTTCATTTCGGAGCGTGTATCGTTTCATTCTTAGTACTGGCGCAGCTTTAACTTGTCAAGTGTCATAAAATTACAGCTTCAAAGGTGACATCTACCGTAATAGTAGGCTATTCAAAATTACAACTCTCATTTGAAAACCCTTTCGAAAATAAACTTAAATAAAATGTATTGAAATTCTTTTGTTTTTCATAAAATTATTTTTTATGTGCGTCAATTACTGCATTATTCAATTGATCCCCTCGTCAGTTTCTACTGATTTCTATGCACTTGAGGTCACTTTCACTATCTTTTTGCCACATATTGTGCCATAGCTCAGCTATAACTTAACGTGTGTTGGCTTTCAAAGGCTCAAGGGTTAAATGTTTGTTCACATAAACACGCTCTTTTACGCAGTCTCAGACTAACGGTGTCAAATCGCATGATCTTGATCTCGTAGCCAGTTGACATCTTCAGCTCGAGAGTTTTTTCTTGCAGGAAAACCATCTTCGCTCGTGTTGTTTGGCATATGTCACCATCACATTTCAATCACATATTGTCCACGTCGTGTTCTTCAATTGCAGGCCAAAAAAAGTCGGTTATCATACAAACAAAATGCACTGAATTGACCGCGTCAGTCACACCGTTGTCGGTTTCAAAGAAGTAAGGTTCAATTTCACCTTCTGGCTAAATATCACACCAGACAGAAGTATCCCACAGGTCCCTCCATTTTTAGAAAAAAAAAGGCGCCTACCACGAATACTCGGCCGAAAATCGCTTCAGCGGTTACAGCGCTTTGTTATTTCAGGATAATCACATACCCCCGAGGGACGAATGTGCGTCATCACAGAAGAAATTTTTGTTTCACTGTATGTAGTTAAAGCACTTAAGCGTCATATTTAAGACGTTTTGAATCATCGTTTTTGTAATAGATTTTAACACTTTAACGCATTTTACGATTATTGAATGATCCATTTTCATAAACGCCTGACATTTAAATAAAACAAAATATTTTGGGTATAGCGCTTAAGTTTGACAGATGTCAAAATACAGCCACGTACTTTTAAAACCACTTTTTTTGCACAATTTTAACAATATACATACGAGTATATAATGTTAATGTGAGTCTAACTCCGTAGTTCAAAAAAACAAAGTTGTCTCTATACTTTTTACGACAAACTCAGCATTACCCACTTCCCATTCTACCGTCCAGAAACAAATCGGACTGTCCTGTTCCTGAAACGAAAGTCTCTCAAAAAGAACGATAACAGTATTGCTAATCTGATGTTTTAAACAAGTTCTAAATAAGGATGTGTGGCTCACTGACCTATTTGTTAGGGGTATTTAGTATTAAAATATTTCTCATTAGAAAAGAAAATTAAAAATTAAACAAAATTTATTGAAAGAATCGAAATTAAAATATTTAGCTGCACTTTAAGCTAGTTTTCCAATGAAAATCTCTCAAAGCAAATAAAAAACATTGTTGCTGAACAGAATTCAACTTATTATATCTGTACTTGATACTGGGGATTCCATAAAGCAGTGGGGTATTTCAAGAGCTGTACATCGATCTCTGAACCTAACTTAAGGTATGAGTTACACTCACATGTATGTCAATAAAAAATAAAAGAAAGAAATAAAAGTAAAACATTTCCTAGAGAGACAATTCCACTTATTTAAATGTAGCAAAAAAAATGTTCGTTTTGCAAGAATTCTCTAACTAGCAAGGATGGAAAAAGTGTTAAAAAATTAGTTTTGTATACAAAGAGCATCGATGCATATAAGACACAATAGGTGACTATATTGAACTACACCTATAATTTCACAAGTTATACAGTGTCCAAAACAGTTTTTGTTTATACCCAAGATAAAAATAATGAACATGTCTAAGAAATGAGTCAAGTTCGAAAAACTTTGAAAAGCCGAAATTACGTACATTTTAGAGCTCGAGATTTTTTCACTTATTTTCAAGTAATAGCCAGCGTTTGGTCAAGGGTTGCTGGGGATGTGTGCGAAGACTTTTAAATTTTAATTTATTATTTTAAGAGAAATTATTATTTCTTTTTGAATTTTTTCTATTAAATAAAAATAAATAAAACATCTCATTTTTATATTATATAAATAAATTCTGCAATTTTGGATTTTAGTAAGGGCAGCTCAGGATCTTCGGGTTGGCATTCCGTCTCTACCTGTTGCATTTTCTTTTGGAAACTGTGAAACCAAAAAAAAAACCTCGTTTGTTTCGCCAAAACTCAAGAACAACTGAACCGGTTTGGCTGATGTTCAATTTGAAATCAATTTTCGAAAGTTCAGGTAAAACTCAGACGCATAGAAGCATCTAGAAAGTAGGCACGCGACTGACTATTTTTTTTTTTTTTTGCTCGCATTCCCATAAACACTATATTTCCTCCAGAAAGTGGGGCGACGATTTTATTTACGTAAGATTGTTTTCTTTCCAGAAACTAGACCAGATAACGATATTTTTCATAACAAATATTAATTTTTTTGGGGGTTTTTTATGGATCTGTTTCAGACCATATATTATATTTTTGGAAATAGTGAAAAAGTCACAGCAACAGTTTCGGACGGTAGAAGTTATAGAGCTGCTATTTCGGAAACCACCACGTTTCCACATCAGATTTCTGTTTCCAGCCAACTTCGTTTGAATTGAATTCGAAGCACGAAACACGAAGCACAGCACGAGCCAATGATTATTCCATTAAGCTACATTTGTGTAGCTTTTATTTATTTTTGTTTTCTCACTTTTCCTTTTATCTATATATCCACGATCAAGTGCTCAGATATTCTGTAGCTGTAAAATTTGGATTGATTTTTACAATATCATTGGAAAATTTCATTCAAATGGCAAGGCTCTTCCGTTGTTCTGTTGACTAGTTTTTGGGTTTTTTGTGGAACTGTTTCAGACCACATATTTTTGGAAATAGTTAAAAAAATTACAACAAAAGTTTTGGACGATGGAAGAAGAAAAATTTGTTTTACTGGGGTGAAATTTGATCTCTTTGCTTACACAAACTCTCACTTTATTTTTCCAAAAACAAAGTTTCCTTCCATTCATTATTTCGCAGCTACAGATTGTTTTCCGTTTAACGGTTAATATACTAAACTATTTTTATACACTCAGTATTTTTGTGCAACAGACTCAGTTCAGCTTCTTTAGTGCAATTTATATTCCTGGAAGATTTTCAGTACCGTCTAAGGACTGTTTCTAAAAAACATTTGAGTAATTCAACAATAAACGAGTAGCTAAATAGTGCAATGCCTGATACCCAGGTGTTTATGAACATAATTACAATATTATATTAAGCCTCAAAGAATTATTACTTTTCTAGTCTTAAAAATGCTATAAATTGGACATGAAAACTTTGACCAATGTTTTTATGCATATGATTTTATTTTATTTTATTTTATTACATTTTTTTCGAGCTCAGTTCCACTCAAACTCAAGCACTTTACTTGACTGTCCTAAATATTGTGTTTCCTTTCTTACAGCGCCGTGCATCACGACGTGCCTCCTTGCGTCGCGGCTCCATTTCAGTGCTGCCACAAAAATCTGCCGAAATTCCATGGGACATTTTGGAACGTCTGCTATTGCCATTCCTCTTTTGTCATGCTGCCGCATTAATTATCTCAACATTATTGCATGCATTGGATATTTCGCATGTCTCTACGTTTGCGGTATTCGTTTGGTTTGCGCTGTCAACTGTCGGAGCTGTGCTCTTCTATCATTTCGTTAAGGTAAGCGAATCAAATAAATAAAACTAAAAATACAGAAAAAAAATTAAAAAAAAAAATAAAGGGCAGACATATTTATTATACATATATATATATGTTTAAAATTAGCGACGATGCGAAAAAAAGAGAATGCAATTTTCTCAGCTAAAAACCAAATTACAAATAATAAAATATAATATTAAAATCGTAAAAGCAACAACAAATACTATAACACATATATTATTGAAAAATTTATTATTAGTCTTTTTTCTGAAATATAGCTCTAAAAATAAACAAGTGATAAAAATTAGCGCAATGCACCAAAATCAAGGTTAAAAGTAATAGACACGAAATAAAGTATATAAATAAACACATAAATACACAGTAAAATTTAACCAATAAAAATATAATAAATATAAAAAGTATACTCATGCATATAAAAAAGTTTTTTGCAAGTTTATAAGTATGTAGATGCCAATAATGCCAATAACTGAGACACGAATAAATAGAACAAGAAATTTAGAAATGGTCTAGTCAAAAGTAATCCATTATTATTTGTGCTTTATTGGTCGGTATCTCTCGCTCACTAAGTTAAATTGGATTACGCTTGAAAGCATTATAAAGGTGATATTTTATATTAAGAAAGGCACGAGGAGAAGTGTTGATCACTTTATTTAGTAGGGTTTGAGTGAAAGTCAAATATGGACACCAGCAAAGAGGAAATTCGCAATATTTTACAACTTCTCCCCGATAAAGGCAAAAATGCTGCTCAGACACCTGAAAATGTGTGTAAGGTCCTGATTTTGTAACAGTTAATCATTTCCAATTTAAGTTACGTCGATCTCATTGCGGTAATTTTTGATGTAAAAGAGGATCAATTAACGAAAATGTCGATAAGCAATGGAAATCATCGATTCTGATCACCAACAGTGTTAATGTTTTCATTGCCCTGCAGCTGAACATTGCTCAAAATACAGTTTGAGTTGAGTTGAATTGTTGCAGCTGCTGGTCGTCCCCCTCACACTAAGGCCAATAGGTCCATTGTGATACCGCTGAGGCTGCTGCCTTCACCTCCTCAAATGATCGAATCATTTTGTCAACATCGTTTTTATCTGAACAACATAAGTAGACACACATCGATAGCGATTCGCCGGAGGCTCCGAGCGCTTTGATGGGAGGTTCTTACTATGCATCCACCTTATTGCACGGACCTCGCGCGAAGTGATTATTATCTGTTCCTGAATAAAACGAACGATTTGGCCGTTGAAGAATCGGCTTCGGTAGAAGACTTTGATGATTAATTGTCACAATTGGGTTTGCATGAAAAAGTCAAAATTACCTTACTTTGAAATTTCTTTTAATTGAACGCGAAAAAATAAGGCATTACTTTTTACTAGACCGAGAATATAAATTTCAGTTTATATGCGTATGATCGTAAATATTTATTTCAGTTTAGTCTCGTATATATTTGTACATATATTTTTTATTCTAAATTTATGTTTTCAGAGTAGCATGACAATTTCTTATTTCTCCCATTCGATCCTTACTAATTTGTAGTCCACATTATTTTGTGCTGACGAGAAAAAAATTAAGTCGTTAGTAGAGAACTTTCAGTGATTTTAACTAATTTTTTTCACACAACTTCAATTTATTATGTGTAGAGAGGACTTACCTTACATCCAAACGAATATCTGTAGATTAATTTTGGAGACCTGTGGATAGTGACAGCGAGTAGTCTCTCTCCTACAGTCGGTTTTCAGATCTACTACTGGGAAGTTTACTGCTCAACTCCTGTTTTTGTGCGTCTTAGATAAATTTGCGGTTCCAAAACGTGACCTTGATAATTCTTAAAACTTAGCTGGGTCATTGAAAATAAGTAACCCTTTACGCTCTATTACTCAGCGTCGCGTAAATTAAGTGGAGTATAGAAGAAGAGTATCGTAGAGAGCAGAAAGTATAGTGACGTGCAGAATGATAAAATGCCAATAAGTCATCCTCATCCGGTCTGTGTCGAAAATGGGTCTCAGGCTGGATTTTCAGCATTTTCGGAGAGAGGGCAACTAGGTGATATCTAGAATTTTCAAAACAAATAAAACTCTGGCTTGGCAATTTTAAAAAGATTTACATATTTGCAGCAAAATAAACTTTGAAACTGATACTTATGTTCCTACCGTGTGAAAAAGTCAGTATTTTAGATCAAAAAATATAAAAGATAAATACTTTGGGCATTTACCAACCAAATTGCATCCATTTACTTCCATCTAGGAAACTATATAAGACTCCTTTCGTTAGTCTTCGAATAGAGAACTCGTATACCGACATTTCGGTTGGCCTTCGATCAGGCAGAGAAAAAACTCAGCAGTCTTAGCTAAATTCGATGCCATGATAAGGTTAATTAAAATAAATATGCAAAATTGGGGTGAGTTGAGACCCACAGAATATCCGCTTTTTCAACACTTTAGTCGGCTTGAGACCAAGTTTCTCAAAAAGCTCATAGTTTCTAGGTTGCACAAAGTGAGTTCTCTAACCAATCGGCATTGAATATCAAACCATAAAATGCAATCTATACTGAGGTATGCAACTAATGTGGCTAGAATGGTGGTCTTCTCGAAGGCTGCGTTCTGCCAAAGAGTGCCCTTGTCAATAGAGCTCGAGTTGAATAATATTTCATGATCAAAGTTAAGAACCTACATCTTTGAGACATCTTTGGCTTGAGTCTTACTGTAATCTTTAAACTTTAAAAAATATTGAAACTTGAATTTATTTCTATATTTTTTTTTTGCTGAAATTGAGATTTTTTGAAGCTAACTCAACTTTAGCGAGTGAATACAGATTTACATATTTTTTTTTTTTTTTTTTAAATAATGGAATAATATATGAAAAAGCATTATATCCAGCAAAGCAAATAATCCTTTCACTTTCTCAGAAACAGTCTACAAGGCGAGAATTGTTCATAAGAAAAAATTTACTGATATTTGTAAATACTTATTCATACATATACGTGTTTGTGTGTGAATTTGAATGAACGCATGTAACAGTGTTGAGAAAAGTGGGGAAAATCACACTTTTCATCGCCACAACCACAACACAAATTGCCTTCACTAATCCTATTAGCCTGAAAATGGCTACCACACTTTCCGTTGCTCCTTAACCACAATCGTGGCAGAGACACACGAGAACCCGAGCTACCGAGCGCCAGGAAGGCTTTTGCCAAGTCAAATAGCCATGAAACATGCGGCAGATGGCATTGGTAAATTGCCATATCATATATGTATGTATATATTTATATGTTCACACATACGTATATGTATATGGGAGATTATTATAAGTAAAGTGCCTTAACTTGATGCTCCATTGCCAGCCACTGCTGTATACTGCGTTCTCACCATGGCTTTAGGAATACAGACACCAATTGTTTTCCTGTGAACAATTCGCTTTTGTCTTATGCCTTTGTGCGCGCATACACACACACACACACACACATGTGTACATATCGCATATATGTATGCTCTTTTTCAACCCAATATTTGAATATCCATAATAAATTTGATGTCGAATTTCAATGGTTTTGTATGCCAAACCACACAGTGGAATCCTTTTTGCTGACACATGACACGCGCTGTAACGTTGGGGCTATGAGAATTTAACATGCGAATTTTACGGCGAAAGACAAAGCAATTCAATGTAAAAGGTAAAAAGGAAAAAGAAGTAAAGAGTATTGTTGTTTCTGAGGAACGTAAAAATATTTTAAAATAATGCGAAAATAAAAGAAAATAAATAAATGTACAAAGTAAACCGGTTAAGCTTAAGGGAAAGTAAGTTGAAAATATGAAATAGAATTTAAGAATCAATTTTTTTAACTTTATTTTAAAGTTAGCAAATGTAAAAAGTAAAAATAAAATTTAACAAAAATTGTAGTCCAATTTTCGATACCAAAGGAAGGAGAAAACTTTTTAAATTTTCGGTTTATCGTGATTTTTGGCAAAAAAAAAATAATGCAAGCTATTTTCATAGGCTACTTTTCGGGTAAATTCTTCACCTGCTAAATTATTCATCATAGACTGGAGCAGATGGTAATCACTTAGTCCGTGGTCCGAACTATACAAGATGGTAACATATGAACCTGCCTTGCAACCAGAATGCTAATATATAATCCTAACTACTCCACTGTTGCGGGCGTTTTGTTATTTACATTATTTTCATTTACTTATTTTACGATATTTAAGAATTATAAAAAATCTCTTTATTAATTTGATTTTTTTTTTTATTATATTTCATTGGCGAAGACACTTATTAGACTGCTATAACAGAGTCCACATTAGTATAACAATTATGCGTGTATTTCGTCCGTGAAATCTTGTTTGATTATAAAACATAAAGAATTTTTTATTATAAGCAAACTTCTTACATTTTTTGCACACAAATAATTCGATTTCTACATCCATTTCGGTCTTGGTCGTTTCTGATTTAACTTTTAAAAATCATCGCGTTTCGTTGGCATCAATATTCAAAACTAATGGAAAGGCGTTACACTTGAATTATATACAGTAATAAAAATGTACACAACAAAATGAAATCGTCGCATTTCCGCTTCAAGTTTTCGATACGAAATGTAATCATTAACGTTGAAACCGCACAAACTTTTCGTGTTAACGCCTGCTATGAGTTAAAAGCACACTTCCATTTTAACATTTAACATTATCTGTTAACGACTTAACATTATCTGTTAACGATTCAACATTAACCGCAGCTGTTCGTTTTGTGCAAAAATGGAAAGAAATGTATTTTGCTAGCAGCTTTATAGTGAATAACTCCAAATGTTTCCACCGAAACGATAGAAATTTCTGATTAACGTGAAATTTATCGTAGCTGTGCAGCCTTGGATTTATATGAGAAGAGGGATACTACTGAGGAAGGAAATATGAAAGGTAAAAAGTAAAAAATCGGGCAACTGTCTGTTGTAGTTCTGACGATTATATTTCAAGTTCTATAACTTCCAGCTAATATTTTGTAAAATTTCCGAT